CCCTGCCACAAATGTTGTTACTCTTGAATGTGGGAAGTGAGAGAAATAAAAGTTATTTCATGCCTGGTTCTTGTGAACACCTGAAATGTCCCACATAGGTGAAAATGGGTTTATTGTTCTGAAAATGTTAAAAGCAAAACTACCAAAGCAGATGTTATGATTCCCTAGTCAGATGAAAGTTCCCTTCAGCACATTCCTTTCTATTGTCAACATCCTTATGAGAGGTGTTTTTCTGCTCTTCTTTCTGGAAACCCAAGCAAGCTTTGTGTATATTAATTGAAGGACATAGAAGAGTTCCCCCTGGCATCCCAGAATGTTAAATTTACGCTTGGAGTAGAGGCTTCTCCAAGTCAGGGCGACCCCTCCACAAGTGTTATAAATCGCACCTCTTATCAATCCTGGGTGCCAGAGGGGTCCTTGAATTCTTCCAGAAGGAAGTCTTTGCACCTTTTATTATGTAAACAATTGATCAATGAATGCAAGTGAATGTAATCAGACCCCTGATACGAGGGCCGCCAATGAGACTGTATCAACATATGATGCCAAGGTACTTGTGAACCAATGACACTTTTTTTTTTAATGTAAACCTGTAGATGTCATTTAGGGTATAAAAGTAGTACCTCTTCCTGCCTTGAGACAGCTTGGCACAGGGGTGCTTTTGCAACATGTTCTATATCTCCTATTAGCGAGCTAATAAACAGTCAGTTATCCTACTCACTGGACTCTGACTGTGTGTCCCTCATCGTGCCCCGGGATGCACGGGGCACAAATCTGTGCAACATGAACGTGCTCCTGGACTCTTGCTTTTTTCTCCTGCTACAGACAAACACGGCCACCCATCTGGATCTATCTGAAGCAGTGAGTGACAGCTAAGAAAAGCTCATCCCCGCCACAAACTGTATTAGTCTTTAAGGTGCTACAGGACTCTTGCTCTTTTCTACCCACAGAAGCGACATTGTCCTCCCTGCTGCATATTTGTGGCCATGCTGACTGAGCAGCACGCTGGCTGTTTTGCCCAGTGACTACCAGTCCTTGGTTTGCCCAGTGACTACCAGTCCTGCACTTAACAGCCCAATTCTGTGCACGTTTGCTCAGAAGTTGATCCCACTTTGTTCCAGATAAGTGTGGCTATGACTGCAGCCTCAGAGCCAGTCATCTCCCTCGGTATCCTTGCCACACGGAGACCTTCAGGATCAGGGCACCCGAGGGCCGCTTCCACGGAACCATCTCTACCCAGGACCCTGAGCCTTCCCCTGGGCCCTGCTCTGCAGGCACAGGGGGTAGTAGCAAGGAGAGCACGCATGCAGGATGTGGCCTCCTCCGGGCTGATCAAGATGACTTCCTTGGGAAGGGCATGAGGAGGGAAGCGTGTTGTTTTGTGCGCCTTTAATGGAGAGGAGGCAGCTCCTTGGGCCATTTTAGGCTGTGTAGTTTGAGGGTGGAGTTTACATTGATTTCTTTAGTTTGACGTTTTTTGGGAAAGCTGGCTACCAGAATTCTAAATGGGTAAGAGCAAAGAGTCTAGTAGCACCTTAAAGACTAACAACATTCGTGGCAGGGGATGAATTTTCACGAGTCTGAAGAAGTGAGCAGTGACTCATGAAAGCTCTTCCCCTACCACAAATTGTGTTAGTCTTGAAGGTGCTCCTGGACTCTTGTTCTTTTCTCCAGCTATAGAACACAGCAATCCATCTTGACCTAAATAAATAAGTTGTAGATAAAGATACCTTTGTTCACAGAAATCCAGGCCTCCCTGAGTGAGAAAAGTTTAACCAATTGTTTGTTGATTACCACACCCCCACCCTCAGTCCTATTATTATTATTATTTATTTCACTTTTACCCCGCCCTCCCCGCAAGCAGGCTCAGGG